GGGAGAGGGAGAAGCAGGCTTCCCGCCGAGCAGGGAGCCCTATGCGGGGCTCGATCCCAGGATCCTGGGATCATGACCTGAGCCGAAGGCAGACACTCAATGACTGAACCACCCAGGCACCCCTCTTTTGCCACTTTTTAATCTATACATATGTATTACCATTTTAACTGGGAAAAAGAAAGTTAACTCTGCTTAAAAATCTGTTGAAGTAGTAATTTCTTCCCTACTATGGGTACTCATCAAATTTTCTTTATGCCATCACACTCATTTGAGAACCTAGATTAGGTCTTGAATCTAAGCTGCCTCAGGGATTGAACCTCACACACAGATGTGCTGGCCATCTCTGGAACCTCAGTTGCTACGTGGAATGGTAAACTGTTGGTGATATCTAAGCAAAAGAACCACTTACCTGAGATACTGAAGATGGTCTCGCATTTAACACTGCGGGGTTAAACTACATAGCCTATGGTCTTTTCAAATCATTTTTTTTTTCTTTCAAGATTTTATTTAAATTCTAGTTAATTAACATATAGTGTAGAATTAGTTCCAGGCACAGAATTTAGTGATTCATCAGTTGCATATAACACCCAGTGCTCATTAAAACAAGTGCCCTCCTTAATGCCCATCACTCACTTACCCCATCCCCCCGCCCACCTCCCCTCCAGAAACCCTGTTTGTTCCCTATAGTTAAGAGTCTCTTATGGTCTTTCAAAACATTTAAATAATAATATATTAAGATAACATTGGTATCTGTAACAAGACAATAAATTGTGGACATGTGACTATGTTTTAGCTCTCTTTGGAACAATAAAATTATGCCTTGGTAGGTAGCAAGCAGCTGTTTTAAGGGGCCTTTCTGATGTGAAAGTAACATAAAGCATCAGTAAGGCTATCACAAAATGATGTCCCAAACTTGTCCCTGAATTTAGAGGGAATTTGAACAATCCATCATCTATTTATTTCATAAAGCCTCCTGAGTTCTATGCAGAAAATATCCTTTGGTTTCCTATTTTTCTTAAAAAGCAGTTTGTATATCATCTTTTCTATAATTTGCCAATCAACTACAATATTCTTTTTTTTTTTTTTAAAGATTTTATTTATTTGCGAGAGAGAATGAGAGACAGAGAGCACGAGAGGGAGGAGGGTCAGAGGGAGAAGCAGACTCCCCGCCGAGCAGGGAGCCCGATGCGGGACTCGATCCCGGGACTCCAGGATCATGACCCGAGCCGAAGGCAGTCGCTTAACCGACTGAGCCACCCAGGCGCCCTCAACTACAATATTCTAAACTTAAATCAGAAAAGAGAATGTTAAAAAAATGAAAAGACATATAAAAACAACGGCAAGCCTACATAGGAAAATTGTACTGAGAGGCACTTAACGTGTAGGGTCAAGAACCAACCAATGAAATTTAAAGGCTCAAGTGGTTTTGAAACGTCCACAGTAAGAGATTATTACTCACCCAAATACCCAGCACTGTGTTCCTACGCGTTTGCACTGTGTGTCAGTGAGGTAAGCATAGTACTGCCTGAAAGAACAAAGGTGGAATTCATTGAGAGCTTCTGGAAGACCAAGGGGTCGGTACAGAATTAAATCACTTTGACAGAGTAAATATAAAAGATGTTCCGACTGGTTCTACACACTGCAGCTGCCTGGTCTACTTCTAGTCCAGGGAATAGAAAGCCAGTGCCTGCTGAAACATTCCTGTAAAAGGTTAAGAGTTCGGGCTGGGTTTGGAAGGAGGAGAGAGCACGGTTTAAAGAGCCAATTATTCGCAAAGGCGGTTTTGATTCGGGGACAGAATGGGTGCTTCAAGTCTCTCTGCATGGAAGTGGTTCCAGAGGGTCACGTACACGTCAGTCACTGTCTCCTCTGGCACTCTCCAGGACAAAGGTTGCTGATTGTAACCCAGGCAGGGCAGACACCCATTTTTGGCTCTTAGGAACTGGAATGGGACCCCGGTGGCAGTTCACTGCGCACTGAATACCAACGACTCTGAATGCTACTGATGAGATCAGAAAAAAAGAGGCAATGATACGGAGTTGAAAGGCTTAGAGCAACACCGTCCAATAGATATGTAATACAAGCCACAAGTGTGATTTAAAATCTTCCAGCGGCCATGTTAAAGAAGTAAAAGGAACTGGTAATATTCGTTCTAGTAACTTAGGTTATTTAATCCAACATACTGAAAACAGCTATCACGAAGTATTTTACATTGTTTTTGCACTAAGTCTAAAATATGGTATTTGCCTCGTATAGCATTTTAATGCAGGCTAGTCACATTTCCAGTGCTCGACCGCTACCGGTGTAAGCAACTGCCGTTTAGCCCGGCACAAGCTTAGACCCTCATAACTACCCCCAAACTCAATCCATCCCTTCAGAAGTAGCATCTGAAGCGGGAGCTCATCATCTTTAGGGGGGGTCACAGACTCTGAGGATTTAATGAAACCCATGATCAAGGCACATGAACACACACACACACAAAATTTTGCATTAAGCCTCAGGGGATTCGTGGATACCTGAAGGTCATCCACAAACTATCATCTCCTTACGCCAAAGGCCTGAGTGGAGAATTCTAGTCATAAAGAATTCAGGTCTACCTCTAACTTCACATTTTCATGACCTAATACGCTTTTACCAGTTTAGCGACTCTACCCTCCGATCGCACCCATCCCCTTAGACTGCACTTTATATTATCAGATTCAAAGAATGTTCAATCAAACATCTTCTCAAAGCAAGAGAGTCGAAGTGAAAGGGAAAAAAACAGAGATATGGTCTGTATGATTTATCCTGAAGTTTGTAGGTTTCCTCTCCTTTTAGGGGCCTGGCACACACTCCTTGGAGCGGCTGTGTTAAAACCCACTAGGAGCACCTCCATCTTTCCAAGCAGCTTGTCACAGCATCTTCTTACGCAGGAAATGCCTCTGGTTGGTATAAAAGCATAGAAAAAGTGGCTGATTTTTAAACAAAAAAAGAATCGTGTAGAAATCCATAGGGTCTGGCAAAAATGTTAAGCTCTCAAAAAAACTCAAAATACTGGGCATTTAGTCTCCAGTTTTTGAGATGTTTAACGATATTGAAATTTTGTGATCAGATGTGGTTTGTGCTTCTGTTTTATAAGAGGTTTCCTTTCCCCGCGTACTGACTTTGTTGATTATTCCTAATTTTACAAAGAAGCTGCTGCTAATCTTTCTTGAAGATAATTGTGAGCCTCAAATTAAATTAAATTTTAAATGAGAGAAGGAGGTTCCAATCCACCAAGGGAAAATAGCATATTTACAAGAAAACGACTTCAACAGGCCACTGGTCTGTGACACGTCAGAACGCTGTCTGCCTACCAACTGCTGGTTTCCCGTTTGGTTCATAATGAACACCAGAGATGGAATTTTGGGCCTTGACTCCACAGGACTCAGTTGTATCTTACTTGGTTTGTTCAATCCAGGATCTGGGGGGAAATATATATAGATAGATGCAGATACATAAATATCTACAGAGATATATATTATATATAATACATCTGTATATCTATATATGTTTGTTTCTTTTTTGTAATAATTAATGAGGACCAGAAGACGTGCTGGCTGGAATAAGGTTTGTTTGACCAAGAACACCCACTCTTCTGGGCAAGTAAGGCCCTCTGCTTGTGTGGTTTGCATGCACAATAAAAATGATGAATTAAATTATCCCACAGATTCTGGAAAGCTAACCCTTGTAACTGCTTAGTTTATATTTGAATCAACTGCGCAGATATCTTTGGTGTTACTACTGTTCAATGCTGGTACTCCAACATTAACTGCAAAATCCAAATGTCATTAGCTCTAAGTAGGAAAAATGAAACAGATGAAACTATGTCTGTCTGATATTCACTGGAATCAGTCTACATGAGGGGCAGTCTCCAAAGAATCCCTCACCTCTGGGGCCCTACCCGAATCGGAGGAACAACAGCATGAATATCCAAGCTTACCTCAGTTGTCCTGGAGGATGACAGGAAGGACACTGTTAAAAGGAAATTAACTGGCTCTAAAAGAGCGAATAAAGTATCATTCTAAAATAACGTCATTTATGACTTGTGATCCACCATTAAAACTTTTGTATTTTTTAATCACCTCATTTTTGAAAAAAAGCATCACTGCTACTCTTTTTTTTTATTTAAAGGATGTTAAACAGGGGTAAAAAAGGAACAGCAGTGGAGGATGATAAAAAGGTTTGAAGATAATGGTGTGTGTGGTGTTCTCACTTCATGTGACTCAGATCTGAGAGCAAAACATTTTCTTCATATTCAGATGTATAATCTTTTAATATTTTCATGGAAAATCTGCTGGTGTATGTGACTTTCCTTATGCTGAACAGGAGAATACATAGCAGGTTAATGTGCTCAAATGACAAGTCAGGCTTGTATAGAATTACCTCACTGTGGGAGCCGTGATGCCACCAATGAAGAGAATTCTACACCAACTTAATGGATGACTGGCTTGGAACACAAAGATATGTTTCAAGAAGAAGGTATTCAACTCAGTTAGCTGAAAAAGAAGGAGGCATTAGTCAACTCGGTACCGCATGCTAAGTCATAATAATATATTCCTTGTTATGGACACTCTAAAAAAATAGCATGTTCAAAGCATTTTCAGAAAATAGATGGGGTCTTCCAAGTCGCTACAGGAATAGTTGCTATTTTTAAACTAAGTAACAGCCAGTATAATATTGGCACCAACCAACTGGGGGTTACGAGGGAGGTGCTGGGGTGGGGGAAGGGGTATATGGTGGCATCAGCTGTCGTGTTTCCTGGGGCGTGGCTGTCACTTGGGTCATGCATGATCTGCTGGAACAGTTGGGAGGGAGATGCTTTGAGAACAGCAGAAATCATGAAGACAAGTATTTGCCATGGAACACTTACGAAGTCTTACAGAAATCAGGCCGGTCTAAGAGATGTAGGACTATAGGACAGTGAGTTCTTTAATCACCAAAAGAAGCTTGAGAATGAGAAATGACTGGGAATGCATGTAGCACGTGCCTTGGCCAAAGGCAGCTCTTAAAGGTGGGTGTGAAGGGTTGGTTCAAGGTTTCATCTACGGGCCGTGCTCCTTTTCCCTGAGGTGAGCATCCCGGTGCAGCTCATCACATGAGGCAGCACGGGGATGTGTTCCCTGCAGAACCGGCCTGGATGCATTTCCCGTCCAGATTAAGCAAGGAGCGGAGATTAAGGAAGGTCACTGCTTGGAAAACATGGACCAGCAGGCTCATTTCAGTGATGTAAGACGCGTGTCTTTTCCCATAGCACTGATTTTAAGGGTATAAAATTAAAAAATGGTCCACTAATTACCACCACACGTGGAAAGCTGGTTACAGCTCGGTGCTCGCGCTCACGGGAGAGGTGTGCTCCGGGTAATGCTGCCCTTCTAGGAGCACAGCTTGCTATCTCTCCTGGACAAATCCAAACTCCTGCTCAGTTCGTGGATTAAAGGAAAACCTACACCTTCCTGGATATTGTTCTCATGTGGTAAAACTTAATCCCCATCCATTTAAGCTCCCATTTTTATACATACGGACTTCCCCGAACCACGGTGACTATTTTAACTATTCACATACAATTCTGTATCCCTAAAGTCCATTTACTGAGATTAGCATTAGTATTCTCCACGTGTGGACCAGGATGATTGTCTTAAAGGTGACACATGCTTATTTTTTGTTATGCGGGGAGTATTTTGTGCATGTGTTCAAAATATAATTTCTCTTCAGACAAAAGCTAGTCTCCCAAAGATGTAAAATAATTAATCTGGGGGTGGGAGGATCAACACAAAAGGCTATCTCTAGAAAACAGAGATGTTTGGTAATCCTTTTCCAAGACCCTTGGCTGTCTCAATCATTTCAAGCACGTAGTGGGCTGCGTGGAAGAAGACCTTCCCTCCACTGACAACACCTTCCTGGAGGACCCAGGTCCCCAAAGGGCTCCAGGGCACAGGTAGTCGAGGGCTTCTTTACTCAGCTCTCTACATATTACCCAGAGTGGTAACAGCTGAGGCACAATTTTAAAAATCAAACATTAAATTTGGAACGTAAGAAAAAGCCTTTGCATTTGTTCCTTTGGTCCTGTAAGTGATCATTCCGAAAAACTATCCAATGCCTAACTCCTTGGGTGATAGATGCTGACCAAAAGCTTCTTTCGGGGAATTTTAAGCTGTTTCTAATTTGCAATTCAAAGAAAGATACTTGAAAATGTCTTCCCCAGGAAGCAAGACCTTAGGCCTGGTAACACCATTCGGTTTAATTATTCTACATGTCAGCTGCAGGATCTTCTGTCTTCTGAACCAGCCAGCAGCAGCTAAGCAGTGTCAATTAGCATTAACTCTAAATTCCAGGACGGTTCTTATTTTGCTTTTGTACTCCGCCCTCCCACCCCCCCCCCCCGCCACTGAGTTCTGGGCATCTGAAAAAATACCTGCCAGATGATCATGAAAAGGTATATTCCAGCCACTCTCTGAAATGAAGATTTGGGGTCAAACCATCGAACGTAGGTCCAACTAGCAGGAGTAAACTGGAGCACGGCTCTTTTGATTTTCCCGGTGGTGGTGTGGATGTCTCTGTAAGAAGAGAATGGCCCTAGTGAAAATCCGAAGAGATAAGGAAGGGGAAGAAGAAAAAAACAAAAAGACAAGAAAAAAATAAAAAAAACCCGGCACTGACAATTTTACAACGCATGCTCAGAACAAAAAGATTCCTGTCAAGTCGAACCATCTCTCCAACAATGATCTCTCTATCCAGACGAAGCGTGGAGAGCTGTGTACTTGATGGGGCATTTCAGGGATGACAGGCACAGGGCAGAGGTCAGGTCACCGCAGAGCCAGGAGAGGCCTTCACTTGTGAACGGGTGACAAAAGAGGCTGAAGCATTAAGCACCTGGAACCAGGCCAGGGAGAATGAGGGCGCCGGCAAGGATGGGATCCCACCCGCTGTGCATCTCCCAAGTCAGGGCATTTTAGACAACTTGTTCCATACTCTGAGGTCACCCACACCATTTCTTCATCCTATGTGTTCCTAAGATAAGTGAACAGTTGGGGATGACAAACAGTGGCTTTTAACCTTCCTTAGTTTTAATCCTAGAAATCACTCAGTTAAAAACTTCAAACTCCCATGACAGAACAAGTCAGGGCTTTTATTCTTATGGGAGAGAGGTGAGGGTTTGTTCCTTCATTCATTCACCTAACCCATCAACAAGCATGTACTGAGAAAATCTTGGGGTGCCTGGGTGGCTCAGTCAGTTAAGCATCTGCCTTCAGCTCAGGTCATGATCCTGGAGTCCTGTGATCAAGTCCCACATTGGGCTCCTTGCTCATTCAGGGGAGCCTGCTTCTCCCTCTGCCTGCCGCTCCGCCTGCTTGTGCTCGCTATCTCCCTGACAAATAAATAAATAAAATCTTTAAAAAAAAAAAAAGAAAATCTCGCAGCAAGAAGATTTGAGGCACAAAAGCAACAACAAAAAAACCCAGAGATTATCCAAAAATAAACAAAAACTATGAAGGACTTGTATTTAAAAAAAAAAAAAAAGCCAACTATATGGAAAGAGGAAGAGGAATCCGGGGAATAAAGAGAGTGACACAGTGGGATTAAGTATTGGAATGCTTAATACAGATCTTTCTCAATTTACGACGGGGTTCCGTCCTGAAAGACCCATCATAAATTGGAAATATCATAAGATGAAAATACATTTAACACACCTAACCTACCAAACATCATAGTTTAGTTCAGCCCACCTTAAACTTGCTCTGAACACTTACTTACATTTGTCTATGGCAGTTGGGCAAAAATCTAACGCAAAGCCTCTTTGATAATAAAGCATTATCTCACATAACTTATGGAATACTGTACTGAAAGCGGAAAAACAGTGGTTGTCTGGGTGCAGAATGGTGGTGAGTATCTCGGTCGTTTGCCCTCATGATCGCCTGGCTGACCGGGAGCTACGCTGCCACCGCCCAGCATCGCGAGAGGGGGTCCTACGTGCAGCCCTAGCCTGAGAAAAAGATCCAAACTCAAAACTCAAAGTATGATTTCTACTGAATGCGTATCACTTTCACACTATTGTAAAGTCAAAAATCATGAGGTCAAACCATTGTAAGTCAGGATTGTCTGTAAAGAGGCCAATTCAACTTTATATTCATTTATATATTTGACGTTAACATAAAAAAAAAACACCAGCGGGATTTCTGCTTATTAGTTGGGCTTGTGTTTTGGTAAACTGACAAAACGACTCTCAAGTTGAATCTAAAGCATAAATGTATGAAAACGGGGAAGCGTTATGGCATTGTGTAAAGAGCCAGGCAGCCTGACGTAAAATCAGACTCAGCTGCTTGCTACCTGTGTGTCCCTTAGGCAAAGTACTAAACCTAGTTCTCACTGTCGCCGTCCCTAGAAGGAAGAGAGAAGTAGTGTCAATCCCTAGGACTGAGGTCAGGCTCAAATGAGAAAGCTTGCTTACAGCACCATCTGGCACCAGCTATGGTTTTTGTTCCGTTATATACAGTCTTAACTATATTAAAAAGTGTATTTTCAAGCCAGTACCTGAAGAAAGGGTTACTTAAGAAGGAGTGGGGAAAACTGTTGAATCAATTGCAAAAACACTAGGAAATCCCTCCCTCACACCATATACCAAATTAAGTTTGAGAAAGATTAAATAAGTTACTCATAATAAAAAACCAAACCATGAAGAACTGGAAGAAAATACAGGTCAACATTTACCTAAACAAAAAGACTGAAAGTTTTTGAAGTTTAAACAGAGTATCTACCTCAAAGAAAATTAAAACTAGATGACAAAATGGAAAATGAAGTCACATTTATGAGAGTGTTAATACCCTTAACCTATAAAAAGCACTAATAAAAAGAGGGAAAACCTAATAGACATGGCCTAGAAATTCAGTATCTCACAATTCTATGTGGGATAACACTTTAGAAGGATTAAAGGTAAAATTCAAAGGAACAGTGAAATGGACACATACATATATTAGTGAACATGGGTGAGAATATAAATGGGTATAAATAAATTTATTTACAGAAAAAAAGAATCAGAAATTTACACAAAGATATATGTTCAAGAATGTTTGCTCTAGCTTTCTTCATAAAACTGAAAACTTTGAAACAACTAAATGACCACAAAAAGTAACTGGTTAAATACCTCATGATTTATTCATAGGTTGGGATCTGAAGAAGCCCTTAAAATCATGGTTTATGAGACTAATGATGTGGGAAAATGCTTATATTTTGTTTGATAAATAAATGAAGGTGAAAACACAATAAAAACAACTACTTTCATGATCACTTTCCCTCCTTGTCAGCGGCACAGTTCCTGTGACTGTCAAATTGAGGAGTGAATTCAGGGGAGCAGGCTGAGCCATGACGGAGGTGGGCTCTGTGTCCCATGGTGGCACAGAGGAGGGACGTGCAACTTGAATCAGAGAGTCAGAGACAACTACCTGGAGAGATATCAAGGGAGTCGAGGTAGAAAAGGAGAGGACCCGTCACCCTGGCACATGGGGACACAGGTCAAACCCAAGTCCAGAGGAGCACGTGCTCGGGCTCAGCACCTCGGGTGCCCCAGAGGGCCTGGAGAAAAGGAGCGGACCTGTCCAGCCCCCTCTGTGCACTTTGTCCTAAACACCATGAGAAGCCATCACAGAGGAATGACACGATGAATCTGACGTTCTGAAAAAGATCGCTCAGAGCGGGTAACTGGGGAACAGGGGGCTAATTAATCCAGTGATGGCAGGGTGAATTCAGGCTGAGGCATTAAGCATAAAAATAAAATGGATGGGAGAAAATCATAAATGATTTGGCATTTTTCTGGATGAATGCCTCGAATTAGGTCTATAATCACTCATGAATTTCAATTACTAACGTGCAATTAATTTCTTATCATCCAAGACCGTACTGAAGTTGCGTGCTCCTAATGCGGTGAAGGGCGCATAATGAAACCCTGTGACTTGTGTCCAGACAGAAGGCCACTCACTTGAAGCTGGCCCAGTGGTAGGTCCTCATCTCAAGAAAGCGGCAAACGACCATGCCCAGCCAGATGCCGCCGCCATTGCACAGCAGGATGTCCAGGATGACCTGATCCCACCAGCACTC